GGAAAGAGTAAGGGAAGGGGCACGCTACCGTCCAGCAGTTGGCAGTTCTTCTCTGGAAGAATTAATCTGGCCAATTGTCTTAATAACCTTAGCAAATACATCACCTCCCTCACCGACACTGATTTTATACTGACTTTTGCCTCATCGCTCTCATCTATTCACAAAGCTTGCCCCTCCTATTTCTCTCCTAAACACAGACATGTGGAGCAGGACAAGACACAGCAGAAGCTAACGTGCACCTGCTGAGCCAACCCTGTTTCTTAGGACCGAAGAAAATGCAAAGCTGACAGGGTTTTCTGAAGTCCAAGCATAGGCCAAGGCAAAGATGGATGTGAAAGCCATGTGGAGCACAGCAGACTGAGATGATCACTTTGGACACAAGCATGCTAGCTGTGTCACCATTGACCTAGAAATGCAATGTGAAAATGTCACATGGGAAGGCAGTCAGAGTGCTGAGGGAACCCAAACAGCAAAGGGAAGAAAAAATGGAGCTCTGTCTTTTCCCACTTGGTTAAAAGCATGAGCCATAATGTGTTCACCAGCCCTTTCCCTTGCACTAGGCACTATTTGCTCATCTCTAACCATCTTTTGCTTATAACAAAGCATGACACTTCAACAATCAAAGGAAAAAAAAAAGAATATTAACACCTCCTATCCAAGGGCCATAGCTAGGCAGGCTCACTTACGAATCCCATTATCCACATCTCTTGGCCAGCATGATCTGTGCTAGCTGTCAGGAATGGAAAGGTGCACTGTGTCCCTGGAAAAAATACTGGACTTAAAAAACATTTCCCAAACTTCAGGAAAATTACAACCCTAATTTTCCTGCTTGGGTCACAGAAGGACTAGTTACAGCACGTATCTGAATGTATCTTTTGTCAGGTGGCTGCAGAATAAAACATCTGAGACAGACACATGCTACCTTTTGGTTTCTGTAACACTGATTAAACTCCTTAATAAACAATAGTAGGAATAAAAGCTTGTGAGCCAAAAGGGACGTAAAGCCAAGGTAGGCTGTTATGGGTAATTCAAGGAAGCACATAAGCTTATTGGATTTTTCTTTACTACTGTTACCATAAATTTACAACCAATCCCCCCCTTTCCCAATATTTTCTAATCTTCTAAAAAATCTGCCAGAACTTCAGCCACAGCGGTCTCCCTTCCAGGCGAGAGAACTCAAGAGCTTCCATGCATAGCCCGTCCCCGCTGGGTGCGCTTCCATATGCCAAAGCATCAACTGGGGAGAGCGTCTCGGGAAGCATCCCCAAGGACTTGGCTAATGGCCTCTACTCTACTTCAGCGAGACCACAGAGCTGCACTATCAGCTCAGCACTATTCTTAATGTAAGGCTTCTGCTTGCTTGTTCTCTGCAACCTTGAATAAGGAAATAAGTTAATAACAGGCTACAGATACCTGAATGTGTGGGTGAAACTTAAGGCCTAAAGCTGGAGCAAACTACCCCTTAGCAGCTGCACACGAGTGAGTAGATCACGTTCATGAAAAAGTGAGAAACAGCAGCCTCAGCACTGGAACAGAAGTACTGAAGCCATGAGAAAACTGCTTGACTCATCCAAAGAAAACATTACCATTGCTGGGCTAAGGCTAAATTGCTTTAGGGACCTCATTGGGTATCCACAGCTTTTTTCAGCTAAGCCAGCTTGTTTCACCACTATACCCATGTCCGTAATTTTGACATGAGAAGCCTTTTGCCCTCTATAACCTGTGTGTTATCTGTCAGTCCCGTATGCTTAAACGTACATTTTAAAAAGAGAAAGCGATACAGAGAACAAACATTTCTTGTTGATATCCCACAATTTTTTCTAAGAACCCTTAGGAGAAAAATGTGGCTTTCAAGAATAACTGAACCATTAAGATTCAAGGACTATGGATATGAAAGTACCTACTCTAACACTTGTGCCACACCCTGGTACCAAAGCAGGTCTTACTATATATGATATGTCAAATACAACTTCATACACACAAACCTTGAAACAGAACTATATAGTGATCGGGAACCTCTAAGCATGTCATAAAGGAGACATTCTCCGAGAAATGAGCAGGAAGATTTTAGCCTGATACCGTAATATTTTCAACCAAAGTTGTAAAAACAAAAAATAAATCCCAAACAAACCAACAAAACCCCAGACTGCCTGAATCCTTTGTTCCCCAATGCCCTTTAGAGTACAGAAATATTGCATGTACAGCCACTCTCCCCCAGCAATTAAATATCAGCTATTATAAAACAGTAAAATTTGCACTGAAATTGTGGTGAACTTTCAGTATCTACATGTAACAAACCATAGAAATTCCCTAATACACCCATGAGACAGCATAAAAATGTACAAACACCTAAAATGCAGCATTTAAAAATTTCAACAGAACACAACCGCTTCCTAATTGCAATAACTTCCATTTGATCTTGATACACTCTAAATTAACAGCTTCACTATGTCAATCAAACACCTCAACACTATCTTCATGATTAGTTGATCTGTGGGAGAAATTTATTCTTTCATATACTTTGACAGGCCAGCAGTAAACATGCAAGCAAAATTATGTACTGTGAACTCTGAACAACAAAATTCAACTCCCCTAAGAATTTTCACACTCTATGTCCAAAACAATTAACAGCAGAACAATATTCTGTTCAAACAGAGTCTGCTGAGGAAAAGGTCATCTGAAATGACTTCGGCTGGATGAATGAAGCTGTTCAAGTATGTAATTTGTAATAAAAATTCCATTGGTGATAAAATATGTAGGTGATTTTTTTTTTGCTTCAAATTCATACTTAACATCAATTTATGCTAAATGACATTTGAGATAAGATTTTCACTTTTTAAATCCAACATAAATGTGTTGTAAATCTGCAGCTAAACTTCCTGTCTAGAGCAAACTTACGGCAGTGCTTCGATATATACAGAGATTTTAAAAAGCGTAAGATAAATGGGTGGGAAATTATTTTTCTCTTCTACATAACATTGGTTTCTGATCTGATCATAAAACCTGATTTAATTTTATAAACAACGTTAAAATGGACCTTGACACTGAGAGCATAATAAGTTTATCTCATCATATTAGTAACAGCATCTCCTCCTTATCCTTTTTATGTTTTACATACTATGAAGAAATTTCTTGCTTGGGACTTCTTCCTTTTATAAAACCTCATCAGGGTTCAGCTGGTGAGTAAGCAGCATGAGAGGGGTGAAAAACGAAACCTAACAGCAAAGAAAAACCTCCTCCCACCTAACGGGGGAAGCAATTTTCCTTCAAGCTGGGACAGGTTTCCCAAGCGGCTCGCTGCAGCTACAAACCCGGCTGCATTCTCTCCCGCGAAGTTCATTCCCTTGCAAGCTCAGGCATGCTGTCTTCTCGGCAGCTATTAAGTCACTGGAACTTGTCTGCAAGTTACTTTGTGATCATGTATAGACAAAAGAAATAAATTAATCATGGGACTCTCAGCAAAAATCCAATGCACTCCTGTTTGCTTTCACAGAAGCAATTAATAAAGCTCTGCAACCTGACTCTTAGAGGGTAACCCCTATTTCCAAGTTACATATATGAAAACGTGTACATGAAAACATTTAGAGGACTCTTGTATGCACACATATATACATGTCCATATACAAACACACCCTTACATACAGCGTGATGATGAAATTCCAGTGATAATTATCTAACCATAGCACAAACCCTAGGTAACGCCCCAAGTGACCCCACCTACACTATTCACTTTATCTGCCCCCAGATCCTGCTGTGTCCAGAGTTCTGACATCAGAGTCCTAAGCCTGTTAGCTTCTGTTTAATTACTATTTTGTTAACCTATCAACCTTTTGCCTCACAAATGTGTCTTCTCTCTTTTGAATTTGTTCAGACAGAAAACCTCAAGCTCTTGAAAGATGAGTTTCAAGTCCCACGGACATAAGAGCTCACCAGGTCTAGGAAGCATGGGCTGTAAAACGACTGGAAATTGCAGAATCCTAGGTTTAGTCATTTGGTTTCAATAATGAGGAATTTCAATCTAATGTCAATGTCACGCCTTTTCCAGGATATTTTCCATCT